AACCGAAGCGGTGTGGGGGGGGGGGGAGGATTTGCAGCTTCCACTAACAAATTGTTTCTTTTAGTCGAAGGGTTTGATGAGTTATGTAGACTGGAAGTAGGCAAGGTGCTCTACTGGTTGAAGTACCTAATTAAGAGGAGGTTATGAATCATAACTGAGAAATTATCCTTCTACTGAGCACATCTACAAAACACTTATTCATATTGACATCCTCCTTGTATATACAAAAGTACTAATTATGTTGCTGGGATGTGAGGTAATTCAGGAAACATTCCTAATGTACAGGGCACAGCAAACTTTCAAGTAGCACTGAAATACTAGTAACACCTACATGGGGTCATTTTTCACAAGGAGGTTTTTGTTGCCTAGCCAGCTCATAAATAGGAGTTGTTTCTGTGGTTTAACTAATTTAATTGCCTTTCTGCTGTTAAAAGTTTTGAGACTTGCCCTACGCATTGAATGAAGATTATAATTTTAAGGTATTATGTTTTCTTTTAGCCCTGCCAAAGAGTCACTTTTAAGCTTGTCGCATCTTCCAGGTTTTAGCTACTTGGTTTAATGAGCCTTCTAATTAGTTTATGTAAATTTTATTTAAATTAAAAACCAGGAGCACAAGCTAAGATAGTGCCTTGGTATTCAACATAGATAAATGATATCAGGACATACCTAATATATTTTTTGAAGGAGTGTGATCTAGTGAATTGTCACGGAGATGCCTGGTCCACTAGCACTTACTCTCTAGGGAGTAAAAAAATTCTTCCCAGAGTAAGCAGTGTGGAGATGCACACTTACTGTGGAAGGCGAATGGACGACGGAAGTGTTTCATTGCAGCTGTTTTTTGTAGTAAATTCTTGATGGATTGCTTTAATTTACACCCACCTTTACATATGGGAAAATGTAAAACCTCTCATATTGGGTATGATAAGGAAGGTAACCACAGTATTGAGGAGATATCTAGTATTTTTTTGTTGTTGTTGCTCATATCCAAGAGAGCGTAATACTACCTTCTCTTGGAAGGAGAAAAAAAAAAGATACCTATTGTGGGCTTACTGCTTTTCATACTGCAGTCTGCAGCAGTGGTGGCGAGACAGCAAGTCATTTGTGCTCTGGAGTCTGCGAGTCTGGTGAAGCGCAACTGCAGGGAAGGTACTTTGCTGACTTGTCAAAGGATGGGAACACCAATTAAATATTCTTCAGCAGCTGAATATCCAGACATATTAACTACAGTGAATATTCCCCTTCCTTCTTGAGTGTGCCTATGGTTTCGTCTCTTTTTCTGAGTATACATCTTATTCTAGCAAAGCTCCTGGGTGTTTTTGCAAGTTTTAGATGATCTTTTTTTTCCCTGTAAAGAGATTTTTTTTCTGGATAGCTCAACTGAAGTTAACTATAATCCGCAGATCTGAACCTTTTGCTCATTGATCTCCTCCAGTCTTTGTCAACCCAGCACTGACAGGAGAGGACGCAAAATAATCTTTTTAGTGTGGAAAAGAACAAAATCTTGCTTTGAATTGCACTATACCACTAGAGTACCTGTTTACTTGATAATGAAGTGTCTATTACTCTTCTGTAGCTTAACAGTATGCCTGTTGGCTTTCCCTCATGAGGCTTTCCAGCTTCCTTAAGCCAGTCCTGATTTTCTGCAGTGTGTGATTTGAGAGCAGAATCTTGAGAGAGACAAAATTTTGAGTTGTTTTTGTGATGTTCTGCTGGAGTGTGTTGGTGCAGTGAAAGAGTTGCACAACTAGGTGAGAGCTGCAGAGTCATGATGAGGTAGTAGTAACTGTTAATACTCCTAGTGCGCAGTAAACTGTCAAATAATACAGGACTCTGGAGCTTTGTGGGAGATGACCTTAAAGTGTGAAGCCTGAAACAAAAGGGTGGTTGGCAAAGGGAGAGATTTCTGTCCAAAGGTTTCTGCTGCTTTCTTAATTTCCATGTACAGGTTCTTATATCAGAGCTGTGGCTTGGAAGAGTTTTGTCCCATTTGTTTTTGGTGATAAGGGAGGGAAAGTGTGCTGGTTTGGGATTTACGGTATTTGCTTGTGTATTGGGCTAAAAGTGACTGTCCCATATAGACTTACGGCATTTATATGGTGTCGAAGTAGCCAAGCAACTTGAAATTGGGGTGCAGTGAGCTAGTGCAATCTGTAGTCATTGCAGCTTACAGTGGGTAAGTGTAATGAGAGTCGAGTCTCTAGTCGAAATAGTCTTGATGTAGGTGAAATTCTTGATTTAAGATTCCTCGTGTTAGACTTTTTAGCTACAGTGTCTTTGTAATCTTGACCAGCAGCTGATTTTATGGCTTAAAAGGGAAGAGCAGAAATGATCAAAAAGGAAGGGGGAAGCAAACCTGGAAACAAGTGAGGCTATGACTGACTTTCTCCTGCCATTTCCTAAAAAGTATACATTAATCTATTGGCAAATGAGAGATTTCTTTTTGCCCTCATTTTACTTGTTTTGACACCTTCCCTTTGTCCCTGTCCAAGAGCAGTTTCTCCTTCATCTTCTGGATTGAAATGACCACGTCTCCTCTTATCAAATATATGTAATGTGCCCGAGCCACCTGCAAGCACTGGAATTTGCAGTTGAAAGGAAAATTTCGGTGTGTAAGAAGGAAGCAAGTTGGATATGTTGTGTGCTTAATGCTGTTTTAAAAGAAGAAAAAAAAAAACCTGTTGTAGAATTAGCCTAATGCTTACAAACATGGTAGTAGTGCCATCTTTATGAAGGCATTCTATTTTGTAAAATATTTTTTCCAGAGTCATGTCCCTCTTTATATTGAGTATAAAACAAACAAAACTTCACACTGCATCTGCCCCTTAGTACCTTGTCGCATTCACTAATTTTATTAATTGTACTGAAAACTTTGGAGAGCTTTTGTTCCACCACTGATTCATGGAAAGGTATTGCAGATTACAAAATTGGGCTGCATATCCCCAGAGCACTAATGCATCTTTCTGGAGTTTATTCTGGGGTTTATTCTGAATGTGTCGCTGTAGTCGAGCCTTTATTCAGGTGTTTCTTACAAAAGCAGCAGTCTTGGTATTTCTGATGGCTGTGTTGGAACAACTATGTTTTTAAGTGGAGTTACTTGGGGTGAAGTTATATGGAAAGCTTGTAAAAAGTTGTTTGCATTTCAGTGTAGGCTGTGCTCTTCTTAGAAGTGTCTGAGATTTGAAGTCCATGCAGATTTCATAACTGAGTCTAGTCCAAGTTGTACTTACCCTACTACAGATATTGTGTAATATCCAGTGTAAATGGACTCATTTATCAGTGTATTTGACAGCTCATGCAGTCTTCAGATTACCCCAGAGGCTTAGCAGTGCAAAAAGGGCTCTGAAGCTTCCGTTTGAAACAGCAGTAACCAAAGCATTGGCTGCTTCTTCCTGATAGTTAAAGTTGAGCTTAATTTGTTTGGCAAAATGGCAGAAATTCCCAGAATCGAGTAATACCAGTAGCATTCCCTGCCTGTGTTACTGTGGGCAGCACAGTAGCTTTGTGCCTAAATATGACTAACTTAAAAACACGTTTTGTCGCTTCAAAAGTAGAGCTGAGACAAATTGGAGTACTTATTTTATAATCCACAATCTGCAGTAGTGGAATGTTACATTTTATGGAGTTTCCTGCTGTTACACACTTAGGTTGTCTGTGTACTTTAATCTTCACAATAGCAGCCGAAAAAAAAACCCCTACCCTTGGAGATCATGCCGTGCTTCTCTTCTTTGGAGAAGCACTAATGTAAACTGTGGGCAGTCTTGACTTGACAGCTGTGCTGACAAACCAAAAAAAGATGCTTTTTGCACTAGACAGATGTCTGAGAGTTGGAAATTTTCCAGTAAAAAGCAGAAAGGCTTTATTCTTCCAGTATTTTCATGTCACATGAAATATGGTTTAAATTGGTTTAAATGAAAGGAATGTTTTCTGATGAGGGAATATTATTGTAGAGCTTTTTAGCATGCAGAGGATTAGCTTGCTAATCACCTTTTTGAGTAGCTAGATTCTTGCAGTTATACAGGAAAACTCTTGATGTTCTGAATGGTGAGGCCTTATGATTAAGGAAACTTATTATTTTAACTTCCTTTGATATATTTGCATGGGGTAGCTAGTGCAGTAATGTTTCGAGCACTTGCATGCCTTTTGTTTTAATATTGATCAAATACAGACGTTACATTCATTGATGTTCAGAGACATTGTGAAAGATCTTGTCCAGATGAAAAAATGCACAGTTTAGAAAATGGCTCTTTATAGCAGAAGTAGTTCCTGGTACGTTTACTAGAGTTTTGTCCTGGAAATTTGTTGGTCATTGCCATCATTAATCCTTTTTTTTTGAGGGGAAATAATAGTTCTCTTCTGCAGATGCAGTGTTCCCTAGTGTCTTCACAATTCAATACTTAAATTCCTTGTAGCCCACTTTATTCTGTTAGAATTCAGTTGCATGTTGATAATAATGTTTCTCCTAATTGGCTGTAAAGCTACAGCCGAGACCTGCTTGCTTTCCTACGGTGCAGGGAGCGAAGAAGTGCTGAAATTTTAATCCTCTAAACTTGTCTTTTAGAGTAACGGAGCATAATCAAGGGTGACTTGTGCTTTATACTAGCTTGTTGTGTGGCACCATTAAGCCTGTTTTGTGAGCGGTTAGGCAGTTATGTTTTGGTGGTGTTTTATGCCGAAAAGGAGGGGTAGTCATAGACAGCTAGTCAACTGTGTCTATAAAGATAGATTAAAGGTTATGGTTGATACTATTCCTTGTGCTCTCACTTGCCATTTTGAGTATTTGGTAATTGCAGCTATAGTTTTAGTTTGTGGTTCTTGAAGACATCAGAATGACTAGCTTTTTAGAGTGACTTCGTTTGGGATTATGCAGTTTATATTCACTGAAACTTATCCTTAAATTCTGGAAGAAATTCATTTAGCTGATTAACAGTGAAGAATGCAGTGCAGTTTAAACTCACCTAAATATCATGCTAAACTTCATTACACTGGATGAAAGGTTTGTTCTTTCCTTTGTAGATCCTCTTCTACTCCTCTTGCCAAGATGGAAAGCTCAGATTCTAGTGATAAAGGAAACCTTGATCAATCGGAAGCACAACGTCAAAGTCAGCTGGATCGGTTAGATCGAGAAGAAGCTTTCTATCAGTTTGTTAACAACCTGAGCGAAGAGGACTACAGGCTTATGAGAGATAACAATTTGCTAGGAACACCAGGTAGGTAACCCTCAGTTTTGGACACCTTACTGGAATTGCTTGAAGGTGTAATGTGTCCTTTTGCTGTTCTCCTGAATCTGTTTCACCAATTAGTTTTTTTGTGGCAGTTGTCTTCCATGGTAGGAAGTAGCTCTTTGCTGATTTGAATAATTTGAGGGGGGTCCTGATTAATGGAGAAACAATTAGGGTGAGATGGATTTATGAGATGTGGAAGCTTACTGTACTTATAACTTGATGGGTACATGCAAAGTTTACCTAGTTATGGCCTCTTAGGTATTTTTGATTAAAAAGCTAATCTCTTGAAATGCAACTTCCACTAATGTGAACCTTTTTTTCAGGCTTTGAGTGCGTTATATTTTTTTATTAGATATTTAACTGATGTAGAATGAGGAAATCCGAGTTATAGAGATCACAGAACCCAGAAAGCATTTCAGTATCTGAATAGGTTGTAACTGTTAGATTCTTCAGCTTCAGTAAAAAGATACTTGAGCCCATGGTGTTGGGAGTACCTGAACTATTTGCCTACCTCGTTATGTCAGGATTTAATTAGAAAAAAATGAGCAGTCACTTGTATCTAAGAGTTTTCAAGTGCAGTCTTGAGCTATGGATAATGCTTGCCATATATATGATTTGGAAATATTTTTGGAAAACTTTGCTTGTTTTCAAAGGTGAAATTACTGAAGAAGAGTTGCTGAGAAGGCTACACCAAGTTAAAGAAGGTCCGCCACAGCAAAACAGTGATGAGAATAGAGGTATATACAGTATTTGTGAAAACTCTTAACTTTAGCACCCCATACGGACCTTAACTTGAGTGCAGGAGTGGAACAAGTTAAGCCTAGGCAGGTGCAAGGTGAGCTTTGTTTCAAAACTAAGTGAACGTTATGTCTGATATCTGCTGCAGCGATCAATTTGGGACAGACTTCACCCATAATGCGTCTGTTACTTACATCAAGATAAAGTTTCTTCTGGTTTTCTTTGTTTTTGTTTAGATTGCTTTCTTGTCTGTTCCCTTCTGGGATGCTTTTGGCAATCCTGTTTTGGTTTTGTTTTGTTTTTCATTCTCCTTTCAAGGATGCTGTATTGCTTACACCCCCTAAAGATGCTGGTGGAGGACTCCTCAAGCTTGTCGTGGGGGCTTATTCTTCAGTGAGTTGGGTTTGCTATGAAGCTGTGCTTCAAGTGAAGGGCCAGAACAGACTTAGTTCTCTATTTGGCAGACACTAGATTGGCAATAATCTGTGGGTTTTTTTAAAAAAGTTTCTTTTCTTTTTAAGCAATTAATCAATTTGGTGCATTGCGATGCTCAATACCTGGTTGACTTTCCATTTACTTATGATAAATAATGTGTGTTGTTCTGGTGGCTTGTTTGCTGTGTGACCACTACAGCCTCTCCATACCCATTAGAAAAATGTCCACTCCTGCTCCCTAAAAAGCTCTGGCAGATGAGACTTGATGTTACAAGTGAAACACAGTAGTGCATGATAGGATTAAGCACTTTTAAACTGTGACTTGTTAGAGTAAGTAATAATGTTCTTGGAAAAAATCACTCCAAAATTAGCTCAGTACTCTAATTTTGGTAGTTCCTTGTCTTTTTCACAGGTGCAGAGTCTGCAGAAGATGTTTCAAATGGAGACTCTATAATAGACTGGCTTAATTCAGTCCGACAGACTGGAAATACAACGCGAAGTGGGCAACGAGGAAATCAGTCTTGGAGAGCGGTGAGCCGGACTAACCCAAACAGTGGTGACTTCAGATTCAGTTTGGAGATAAATGTCAACCGTAATAATGGAAACACAAATCCAGAAACTGAGAATGAGCCATCTGTAGAGCCTTCCAGCGGGGAGGATTTGGAAAACAGCCAAAGTGACTCTGAAATTCCAAGGTCTGAATCGCCATCCACAAGACAGCCTGGATCAGAACGTAGCACGTCTGAGGAGCTAACAACTGAGGAAGCCTCTCCTCCTAGAGGGCAGAGGAGAGCAAGAAGTAGGAGCCCAGAACAGCGGAGAACACGGGCTAGGACTGATAGAAGTAGGTCACCTATTAATCCAGTGAGTGAGACTCCTCGCAGGGCTCATCACAATACATCATCTCAAACACTTGACCATTCCTCAGTGAATGAAGCTGAGGGAAGTTCTAGAACTAGGCAGCACGTGACCTTAAGGCAGCATACAGTGGGGACTGAGATGCCGAGTGAAAATGCAGTTCTGTTTTCAGCCCCTGAAACGAGACCTGTTCCTCAAGCAGCAGGTTCTTCAGAAACTAATGGCAGCAGCGAGTCTGCGACTCCTGGGCAGAGGCCTCCCACTATAGTACTTGATCTTCAAGTGAGGCGAGTTCGTCCCGGAGAATATCGGCAAAGAGACAGCATAGCCAACAGAACTCGGTCCCGGTCCCAGACCCCCAACAACACGGTCACCTACGAAAGCGAGCGGGGAGGGTTTAGGCGCACGTTTTCACGTTCCGAGCGGGCTGGAGTGAGAACTTACGTCAGCACCATTAGGATTCCTATCCGTAGAATCTTAAACACGGGCTTGAGTGAGACGACATCAGTTGCAATTCAGACGATGCTCAGGCAGATAATGACAGGCTTTGGAGAGTTAAGTTACTTTATGTATAGTGATAGTGATGCGGATCCTAGTGGCCCCGCTCCGAATCAGAGCGCGGATGCTTCCGAGCCTCCCAACGGAGGAGGTGGTAGTTCAAGCAATGAAGGTACAGACACGAGCTCAGGGGAGGTGTATGAAGGTGGCAATGAAGGTGGTTCGACATCCGGCGTTAGGCGAGAAGGTCGGAATGCGAGGGGATCGGTCACGTTCGAAGAAAGTGGTTCTCTACCATTCCTTAGCCTGGCACAGTTTTTCCTATTAAACGAAGATGACGATGACCAACCAAGAGGACTCACCAAAGAACAAATTGACAACCTAGCAATGAGGAATTTTGGTGAGAGCGATGCTCTGAAAACCTGTAGCGTGTGTATTACAGAATACACGGAAGGCAACAAGCTTCGGAAACTGCCTTGCTCCCACGAGTACCACGTCCACTGCATTGACCGCTGGTTATCAGAAAATTCCACTTGTCCCATTTGTCGCAGAGCAGTCTTAGCTTCCGGTAACAGAGAGAGTGTTGTCTAAAAGAGGTCCGAATTCCTGGCCGAGCAGCTAGTGTAATAGTGATGGGCAAAGAAGTCACTTCCTTTATGGCCACTTTTTGAGTGGTACCTAAATGTATAGTAATGACTCGGAGTGAATCTTCTCTCATGAAAGCATTTTCTGAATTATAGCTTTTAAAATTGGAGCATTTCTTTAATTAGCATTTTCAAGGTCTAGTCAGTTTGTGATAAATATCACTTGTCCAAAGACATCCACCCATTTAAAAATATTTTTTTCATTATGAAGACTATTAAGTTCTTCCCCTGCCCCCCAGGCCAATAAGCATCTTGTCCTCAAGATTGTACTTACGAGGAATTCTTCTGAGAAGTCATCCCAGCTAAATGTATGTGAGTCGTGAAGGATTTTTTTGCAAGAGATCTAGCTACCCGACTGAAAAAATAATATGAACTTAATTGCACACTTGGACATACTTTTAATTTTCATACTGGGTTAATATTGGGCATGTCTGTGTAAATAACACTAATGTTAGCCCTTTCCCCATCACTATGGCACGCTGTAGGATGAGCTGTTAGCTTAATCGGGATATTTATCTTGTTGTGGAAATATAAGAATTGCCTATGCTTGTTTAAATAAAAAAAATCTGTTTTAAAATTGTAAAGCTTTTTTGTAGAAGCTCAGTACTTTTTCAATGCACTGTTGTACTAATGCATTAAGAATTAAAATTGTACCATGCTTAGAAATCGAGATTGCTTTTCATACAAAACCCACCACACAGAGAGCAAACTAAATACGAGAGCTGCTTTTGTAACTGTGTACCTGTCAAGAGCAGTGCATATCTGTACTATTTATGTGAACAGCTACTGTAATATAAGAACAGTTGAATCGGACATCTTAATTGCATTAAAAATGGAAATTAAATGTTAATTGCAGTGTTTTGGCTCAATAATGCCACCAAAAAGACGATAAAAATTAGAAACTCTTCTAATGACTGGTTATTTCTTTGGTTACTGATATGTAATAATACGAATGGGAATGTCCCAACTGGTCAGTAAGATGCCCAATTTTTATGAAAACTTTTTTTAAAAAAATGAGGCAACTTTAACTCTTCAGCAGATAAGTAGATAAATAATGACTTTTTTTTTGTTTTCTTCCCCCCTGTTCTTCCTCCCCCCCAGTTTTCCACGAGGTTCAACCATATTGGTAAATTCTGGATCTGTTTAGTGAATGTGCTGATGATATCCAGTGTTAGGAGCAAGTTACTAATGTGCCACAGAAGCACAATTTTAAGTATTAACTGGAAAGCAGATTAATTATTAGAGTGCTAAATTATATTTGAAATTTCTAATTGATTATTGTAGTACACTTCTGGCAATTGGCACCACGCACACAAAAAAGCTCTTTATATTCCTGTTGTGAACAGGCTAAAACTGGTGAAGTTTTCCATTAGAAGTAAATATGTGGCATATTAAATTGAGAGTTGGAAACTGTACCTCAGCACTCATCAGTGTCAGGGAAAGCTTCTCCTTGCCCTGTCAACAACCTGTTTAAACTATTCCTTCTGTTGTGTTCTTTAGTGATCTTTTCGAGCTAATGTGTGCAGCGGGAAAACGTTTATTTCATCTTCAGGACAGTAGTTAGGAAGGGATATGAACTGCTCTTGCTGGCTATATGGGAAATGTTGCTTGCTCTTCTGATGACCAAAAAAAAAAAAAACCCACAAAGCTAGTCTATTTTTTTTTCTTCTAATTAAAACACATTTGTAGTGTTTTACGGTGGTGGTTGCATAGGAGCTGGTCTCAGCTCTAAGCCATTTTAACTTCTCATCAGCTCGTGGAGGATTCCCCTGTGTCCCAAAATTCCAAATTTTCTTTTCTCTTTGTGCGTTTTGTGGTGGTTGGTTCAGTGGGAAACCCTGCCTGGCTCTAGAGCTCGTTCCCTCCGAGCTGTGTGGTGGCACACAGCATCGTGGCAGAGGGCTATGGGTGTGGGTTTTTTTTTTTTAAAGCAGAAGAATAAATAAGCTTGTGCTCTTAAATTTTCCCTCTGATGTGCATCACTGTAAGATTGGAAATTAGCTATTAATGTCAGGTGCTGGCCTGTGATGAATGTAGACAATGTACTTTTATGCCAAAATTTCCTCAGCAAAATGACACTTCTGAATTTCTTCCAGTTGTGTATGCAGAGCAAATCCATGCTCTCTGGCGTAGCTCCCAGGGGCTCTGCCACTGTACTGGAAAGTAGAATTATGAGGGAAAAACCAAAAATTGCCTTTTTCTGTGGCTGCGTTTTAGATTTTGGAACTCGGAGCTGCATCTCCGAGGACTAAGGATGGTGACCAGAAAGAAAGGAGCCCGCTAGTACTAAGCGACGTGAAGCACGGCTGTGATACGCAGCGTTCAGCGTAACCTTCTCATGTTCCAATAACTGTACTCTTTGGTAGAATCAACTTTACAGATTTGTTATAGTTTGATAGTGGCATGCCTTAACATTTTATCTTTGTGTAACGATAGCAACAACTAAATAAAATGTTGGAGGTTTCCCAAACGGTACCAAGAACCCATAATTCGACCTCAGTGAAGAAGCCCTCGGCTGGTGGGGCGGTTTTGGGTGCCCCTGAGGCTCGGTGACTTTGGGCTGCATTGTGCCCTGATCCCTTGAGGTAACTTGGCTGCTTTTACTGTTACATTGGAGCTGGGAAAAGCCGGTGTCGACACCTTGGTGGATAACAGAATAGGCTGATTCTTAGCAAGGTTTGCGATTAGCCTGGGATGCTTTTTAGGAATCATTTTGGTACCCAGCAGTTGTGCTTGTGGCTTCCTTAAGTTCCTCGTTTGGTGTTGCTGTCACAGGCGGGATGCAGCCAGCTGATTCGGGTGTATTGCCACCTGAAGGGTTAAAATGGGTATTTTTTGGGTAATTTCCTATTGCCGGTGATGCGGAGTAGCGTCACTGCCGGCTTCGGAGTGCCATCTGGTGGGAGCCTCTCCTGCCAGTCCCGCACAGCACTTTTTTTTTTTTTTTTTTCCTTTAGGGCTTAATTCATTAAAAGACTGCAAAGAGTAATTCCTGAGGTTTGTTAGACTTCCCTTTTACATGCTCTTTTTTTATTACTGAGGTTTTTTTTCTATCAAAGGACTTGCAGGCTGTTAATAGATTTGTTTTGAGGATGATGTGACTAGTGCAGCCCCCGCGTGCATCCAAGTTGCTCACCGAGAGCTTAGAGGCTTTCGGTAGGAAGCGCTAACGGGTGCGCGGAGCAGCTGCCCCAGCCCGATGACACCCCGGTTTCGAAGGAGCCGCGATGGCCGGCGGCGTTGGCTTGCCGATGAGTGCGTTTCCCAGTGCCGCTGCCACCGCGGACCGTGGTGGCTGTCACCCAGCATCCCCACGGCAGCTGGATTGGGCGAGTACGCGGGCTCTGGAGCGCCCTGTCCCTGGGAGATCTGCAGTGGGTGGCAATGGTCGCCCACGAGATGTGACGTGGAGCTGCAGCAGCGCAGGGCTGGGGGAAAGGAGCCCCGGCCGGGTCTGCCCGTTGCTCAGTTGCTGGCGCCATGGGCTGTTTCCCCAATATCCCGGCGGGATCTTGGCCATCACAAGGCACGGGTTCATCCGTTTGCCCCAAGCCACAGCCTTATCTCGAGCGTCCTTGTTACTGCGGCGTGAGCGTCTCTGTAACTGCCCAGCATCCTGGGGCCCTCGCTGCTGCCGCGGGGCCTCACTGCACCCAGGC